CCTTAAAGGATAAAATATAACTTACAGAATGACTTTGCATCTCCAAAACATTCAACTTTTTGCTTAGCTCAGAGTATGCATCCTTATAAACTTTATTTTATGTTTTGGATTATGATCGATTTGATTGGAGATTGATGAGTAACGTTTATTATCAGTTTATTTATGTACTTAAAGAGTTTTTACGATGGTAATATGTTAAACATAGATAAAATCGTGTTAGGTTCAACGGGGTATTTTTATGCTATTTTCATATATTCGGTAGTTCGAGTAAATCTTAATTATATGATATTTTAATAAATAAACTAAATTTTGACAAGCTCAATTCGGATAGTCAGCTAGGGTCGATCATAAAATAAATATTATCTTGAGAACCAACTTTTTAATGTGACCGCAAACTGGAAGTTCGAAGAAAAATACAGTTACTCTCCAATATCCAACACAGTACGATCCTAAATTATGCGTATGATTATGGTTTGGAACAATTCATTGTTTCCTACAGACAAATGACGATACTGATGAATGAAAAACCTTAAGTATTTGTTATAGCCCCATGAAAGTATGCTAGAAACTGAATTAGGCGAAAAAAAGAATCACTTTATCTCATATCACGCAATATACCCATGTATAGTGCTCATAACATTAAAAGTGGTAGTCAAAGACTAAGTTTTTCCATCGAAAATTAAAAGTGAATATTCAAAGTGTCCAATGCCCAATGCTTTCTATGTAGAGTGTATACAAAACGCAAATAAACCCCGTACCTGAGTCCAAACTTTATAACCCTCATCCTGACTAAATTTCTAAGTGTCTAATTCCAAATCCCGGTAAGCTGAAATATACCCCAGAGTCACTGAACGTGAAAATTGCCTTAAGGTCTTGAATCGCTCATCAAAATAGGATAAGGAATTAGTGTCAGGACTTTGTATTAGAATCCACGGTTAAATTGTTCATCATGAACTTGAGTCAGTCATAATGCACCGATCCTAGACGCCATATTCTACGTTTCAGTCCTAGTGTAATAACTCATTCATTGGCACATGCCGCCTCCTGAATGACTAGAGCAGGGTAAACTGTCATGGATTTCTGGTAGTTTATTTCTGTAGGAACACCCAATACGGGGCATACTGACAAAGATCAGCGCACATGCCGTCTACCGATGATGGAATGTACGATAGGATAAGATTCAAGGTTTTCATCACGAATTGACTTTAGATTTGATGAAAGGAATCTTTGTAGCTATATACATGGATGATTTTCGCGCAAAACCACAAAAAGTTATTTAAAATCTATGGATGAATATTCACATGCGCTTAGTTTGAAATTTGATAAGCTGTCTTCTGATTGGCCGACTGTGTCAGGAACAGCTCAAGGCAATTTGGGAAGTCCATCCTGGTTTCTCTTATAATGTAGCCTTATCTCCTCTAACTCGAATCAGGGACAAATTGCAAAAACTGTTTCTAATTGGCTGATGACTGGCTAAACATTCGTCGCCGTTGTTTTAAGTTTGTCTTTGCACTGTACTTTTATTGTTAGGTTAGGCATGGACGTTTGTCTATCTCTAAACTTTCCCGTCAAACTATATTATACTGCCAAAACAGCTAGAATTATTAAGATGGAGACATTAAGATTTGAAATGAAATCCTAGTGGCAACGGTAGAAAACTTCTGAACACTGAAAATAGTTTTTCCTGGCACAACACAGTCAAAATGACATTATGTGAAAGTAAAACATTTGTCCCTGCCAATGTACATCTTATCCAAAAAATAACTTTATAAGGTTTCGTGGAAAGCCAGTAACTTGTGAACGACCTTTGAAAGATGCTTAAGTGGCCTTGAGAAAGTCCAACCACTTACTATCACCAAAATAGGGTTTTTATTTAGTGTGAGGAATTAGGATGGGGAGTTAGAGTTGGAAACTAAGCTTTGGAATTAGATTGAGTTTTCGTCACGAACTGTTACTAACTATAATGCCAAAATTCCATTTAGTTATATGAATTTCGCACAAAAATCCAAGTCACTACTTTAGATCTGATTGGTTCATCTATAAATCATAGGCCCACTGCATTCTTGTCATCCGACAAATCGGCTGAAAACTCAAGAGATCGTTGTATAGAAATATCGTGAAGACTGTTATAAAAAATCTAAAAACGCATTTATAACTTGTTTAAAGGCCTGGGATTAAGTTAATGTATATATATGGGAATATCGACACCAGAATGTAGGAGAATTTAGATGGTATCCTAAATATGAACAAGCGTGTATTACTAGCTACCATTAAAAATATAAGCACCAGGATATATCGAACAACCATGTCAGCATTGATGATGAGAAAAAGAACAAATATATTGACTAATAGATATTAGTTAAGAGGGAACAGTACGAACAGGTGAGAATCTATTCGAAAATGTTAAGCGGGTCGAAGTAATGTGTAGTACAGAAGCACATGTGTAAAGATAAGAAATTTATAACTGAAAGCTTATCAGAAGACAAACACTATTGTGAACGTGATTTCGGTATACCGCTTAACGTAGAAGAAACCATATAGGGATCCATGCATTACAAATCAAATTCTGACTAATATAAGAGACTATATATTTTACCAGAAGTAGATCTACAGTGATATCTTCTATGGAGATAAAACTCAATTACAGTTGAGTGCTGTGCTATGAAGGGAAATACCAGTTAATTCATTTGAAGTTGATGTGTTTATAGATATATTTTGAAAAGGGATTCACACAAATAAAGCTACGATTTAAGGGTTAGGGTTAGAACCTTTGAACATTAGATTTCATATTCAAGTTCCACTTAAACTACGTTAGAAAAACAAGATATCATTCCTTACGAAAACATGAGCGGAATACATGAGGGTGTACATAGTTTCACTGCTATTCAAGTGTAGGCGATAATTAAATGCTTCGCCACATAATTCCTTCTATAACTTACCTTGAAACAGGATTTAACCTTATCCCTTCACAATCACAACACGATTCGATAGTAAACATCATGTTCCCCGTATAGATAAGTGTTCAAAACTTTCACGTCAAAACTGGCGCAAAACAAATTTGAGCAAATAATTTTTTTATTCATATGAAAAAAAGAGACAATAAGACTTTATCTCCTTATGATATTCATCAATACAGATATTATATAGATATGATGAAACAAGCAACTGTCTTTGTTTTCTATTCATGTACACACTAAAAGATATTGACAAACAGTTTTCACGTCAAACAGAAAAACCAACTACATATCTGCAGACACTGTTAACTTCTTTATCATTCAGAAGCACAGATAGAGAAATTATAAATAGATTGAGACGTTGTACTAAAGTATAATGTAATCCACAAAGAATACTGTTAACTAAATGTTAATTTAATCATATATGATATAGCTAATAACTGGCACGAAAAACAATACAGATTAAGTGGTATATACTAAATGTAGATAAAAAGAAAGAGAGCTGCAGCAGTTAATCAATAGGTCAATAAACATATGAAGAGTAGATGTACCACGTAATGTGTACATATTTGTGTGATGCAAAGAGAAATAGACAAAAAGGATTAAAATTGTTTCATTTCTCGTTTCTATATTAAAATGAAATAATATTGAGCAAAGTGAATAGGAAGTTATTTACCATAGTAAAGAAAAATTTTCTATTACGCTATAAAAAGAAATTAACAGATTTGTAAATGCCTAGAAAGTTAATAGTAATCAGTCAACTTTTAAGGACAAGAAGTAACACAATATGAATCTCAGAAACGTTTTTACCACCTGAGATACAAAGGGAGTACGATGAAGTAAATAATCAATAAAAATAAAGGCAAATGACATCGGAGTAATAATACCTGAAAGATATTACATCACTCAGATTTAATTTCTTGTTATCTTTGTTTCCGTTCAGGAAAAATCGATTTTGAGAGAAAGAAGAGAATTAGATGAATCAATATAATTAATCAACATCATTCTCATGTTTAGTAAATTAAACCAAAAGTACAATTATGCATACAGATGAGCGAGTGAACAAGCAAACAGAACTCATATCCTTCGATAATGCGTACATGTGCATATTTTAAAATAAGTTTTAAAAAATCCACCAATATTACTTAAAGTCATTATGGGATATTACGTGAAATAAAAAGTTGTATCTGTTAATGCTTTCTTCTTTACTGTTTTGATTCAAGTACATACCAAAAAGAAAAAAAGGAGACCACAATAATGTCGATACGTTTTTTGTTAACAGTGAAAATAAAACGGAGATAAATGTAATTAATAGAACAGATGAACGAATGTGTACGTTTATATCGGAAGTTGGAAGAGGCGTAAACAAAAAACATAAAACAACAGTTACAAAATCATATATCACTGTTTTCTGTCTCTACCACTGAAACACCTTAATTGTTGAACGGGCGGTGGAATTCTACCTGAATCAGAAAAAAACCATATTATAATAGTCAAAGTTAACAATTATACTACTAACAAATTGCAAAAATATATTAACACATTATTAGAGAGTGAGGATTTGGGAAAAGAAAGGAAAACAGCAAAAGAAAAAAACAAGTAGAATAATTAAAAACGTTTACAGTGAGAAAAAAACAACGGTAAAAGGAGGCATCTTGTCAACTGAAACTATATTCAACACTAGAGACATGAGTACAAGTAAACAAGTAAAAAGGAAAATATCAAAGTACGAATAAACCAATACAATAAAATCGGACTGAAAAAAATACATAGAGTGGGGAATTGAAAGTAGAGACTATAGAACTTGTGCCATTCATGTGAGTATATCTGCATTGATATAAAAGAAACCGATTTTCGTTAAATCAATAAACAAGATAGACAGTACCCACTGATAGATGTTTTTTTGTTTAGAAGTTTGAGAAAACTATTGCTAGTAAAAAAAGATAACGGTCGTAATAGTAATGTTGATAATGATAATGGCGATAGTAATAATAATAATAATAATAATAATAATAATAATAATAATAATAATAATAATAATAATGAACGTGAACAAAGTGTAAAAATGTTCTCTTTTCGTTTCTCCCAGTAGAATAATCTCAGAATGATACAAGAAGGGAGGGAGACAGGGCTTTCAGCTCGAACCATACATAAAATGTGTACGATAGGAAAACAAAATAAATTAACATATTAAAAGACAACAAAGATACAAACAAAATGCATTTAAATAAGGATTATGTCGTTTTTTCACTTCTTTTCTTTTAGGTATTCCCATATGGAGCCTCTCTTTGGTACAAGTAAACAAAAGGAATAAAATAATCAAATTGTGAGCGTTACGTAGAAAAAAGGGAAATGAACACACTAAAAGCTGCCCATGTACACACACACACGTATTCCAGTTTGTTACTTATGAATGCTGCTGCTCAATATTCAATTCTGGTGGATAACCGTGTAGAAATGGACAGGTGGAACCTTTGAAACACTCACCCATCTCCCAGAATTTACAAGTCACTTTTGTTAAATCATGTGCAAATTCACAATCTTCTTTTTTACAATGTCCACGTAAGTAAAAGCTGCACGCACGACGCCATTTAGCTACAACTGGTTTTCCGTTGACTAATTCTGTACCTGGGTATAATGATGATAATGATGAATCTGATGGTGTTATAGTCGTCACTGCTCCTGGTGCCATTTGACCATTTGTACAACAACGTGATTTATTACATGACAGTTGGGAATTCGAACCTGCTTGTTTTACTGAAGTGAAAGTACCCACTGAACAAACTGAAATGTTGCCAATGTTCGAAGGTATATTATTATTGCTTTGTCGTCTACAGTGAGCATTGGAAAATCCCTGTAAAAATTACAAAAGTATAAATAATTATATATCTTCAAGAAATGATGTATTAAACAAATTTGGAAAAATCTCAATGAAGTTATAGTCATAGAAGTTAGACACATTACAATTATTGTCTCTTTGCGGTCGATACTCTATGTTAATACAATAAATATATATTTGTGAGGACAACACTGTTTATTCCGTATATCAGAAACTAAAAAAAAAATATGTTTAACCACTTGAGATTAAGAATATCCTGTGATAATTCAGTTTTCACTAAAATAACATTTTATAAGTACGAAACAAAATCTTGAGGTGAATTCAAAAGATTACATCTTTTGCATTATCCTCAATCAGACAGCCACAACGTAGAATCAGGCACACATATGAATCGATCCAAGTTGCCATACCTCATTAGTACAACAAGAAAACACCAAATTAATAGAAGCAGTTACTTTAATGGTAGTAATACATATAACAAAAAAAGATTGCACATAAGGATATGAAACAGAGAGAAAGAATTAGTTCGTAGAAAGAAAGATATGAAGCGATTTTAATCTCACCGTTTTAGAACAGACAAAGAGTATATACATATAAACATGGCACAAATCACAATTTAATGACTTTATGGACTAATGCGACATTTTTGGTTTGGACGGCCCCTAACATTCTTCCATCCATCTCCAACACTAGTAAGCATTGTGCACTGTGGTATTCAGTTGTTAGGCATGCGTAATACGTGGCCCAACCATCTCAAACAGGATCTACTGAAATAAGAAGAAACTACGATGGAGGACAATTGGAAAGGAAATAGAGAAATACTATCTTCAACGTGTCAGGAGGTGCTGGGATCTATATCGAAATCCTGCGCACGATTCACAGAAGAAAGAACAAGAAGACAACAATTAACAACACAAGAACAAGAACAGGGAAAGTCAAGGCACAAGCTGAATACACAGAAGCAAACAAGGAAGTGAAGAGGAGTATTAGAACTAACAAGCAGAAGAAGCTTCAAGAGAAGGAAATATCAGACAACTCTATGGTGCAACGAAGAAACTGGCAGGAAAATATAGTACACCAGAAAGACCAGTCAAGGATAAAGAAGGCAAGACAATCACTGAAATTCAAGGATAGAGGGAAAGATGGGTAGAACACTTAGAGAAACTCTTCAAAAGACCAGCTCCACTGAACCCACCAGACATCAAAGCAACACACACAGACCTTCGTATAAATGTCACTCCACAAACGATCGAAGAAATCAGGATGGCCACCAGACAAATCAAGAGTGAGAAATCAGCAGGACCTGACAATATATCAGCTGATGCATCAAAGTCACACATAGAAGTAACTACAAGTATGCTTCACATTCTATTCAGGAAGATTTGAGAGGAGAAACAAGTACCGAGATACTGGTAAGAAGCACACCATCAAGATACCAAAGAAACGAAATCTGAGAAAATGTGAAAACTTCACAGCCATAACACTATTATCGGTAACAGGAAAGGCTTACAACCGAGTGTTGCTGAACTGGATGAAAGGTTCATTAGACGTCCAGCTTTCAGATCAGCAAGTCGGATTCCGTAAGGATCGGTCATGCACACACCGAATCGCGACACTACGGATCATCGTTGAACAATCAATTGAATGGAACTGGTCACTGTACATCAACTTCACTGACTATGAGAAAGCATTTGACAGTGTGAATAGAAGAATATTGTGGAAACTTCTTCGACACTATGGAGTGAGTACATGAGGAGATCGTCAATATCATGCGAAATTTATACGACGTACTACACTGCGAATTCGTGCATGGAGGGTAGCTGACAGATGCATTCCAAATGATGACCGGAGTCAGACAAGGCTGCTTACTGTCTCTCCCAACTTTCTCTTTCTTCTGGTGGTTGACTGGATTAGATAGGTAGTTAGATAACAATGGAAGGATGAAACTTTCGAAAGAAACTAGGTTATCTGAGTTAATAATTCCAATGTGCCGCCGAATGTCCTGGTATGGCCGAGAGTGGTGTGGGTTCGCCCTCTCTCTCGAAATACTCTCACATGGCCACGCGTATACAGCCTCTGCCAGGGAAGTCCTACTCACTGCCTTCTCGTGGCGGGGGGTGTGGTTTACGAAATTGAGAGGACAAAAAGCGAATGTCCGGTGCTTTAACCGGGTTGGTGGACATGGAGAGTCCACCTAGGGGAGTTGGAAAACCCTGACTCCAAACCAATGGTGCACATGCGCTCCAGTATCCTAAGGGAACAAATGGCGTAGGAACCAATCGTTGGTCACCGGCTACCATGGGACTGCATCTCCTTACGATGCTCCACTGCCTTGTGGATTAGACCTTCAGGTAGAAGGCTCGGGGTGTGGTCCCCTAAGAAAACCACCTACTTCGGTTTGGGCACCCGGGCAGTATCACAGCCATCAAACATATCACATGAGATCTGCGTGGCGCATATGTATTTGGTGCTTCTTTGTACCAATATCTATTTGTTAAAATAAAATAATATATAATTCCAATGTTGACGGAAATATTCGTTTCGTAACAATATCCGTTTTTCTGTTAAAAACAGCTACAAGACCTATTGATCAGTGAAGTTCCATGTCACTTACAATAAAACTTGACATTACTGAAAGTGATATAGAAAGAGATTTTGTAGAAATAACCTAAGCTAGAACAAAGGAGTTATTTACTACTCCTTGACTTCCAATTATTCAAACGATTTTTGAATAGCAGACCGACAAAAGTAAGTACACATAGAAAATTACATTGATTCAAATGTTCAGCATTCATTATTCCATTCGAATCAGAAATAAATGACTAAAAATTTTAGAACAAAATGCCCAATAAACAATTTTCCGCGAATCAAACACACTTGACGAGAAAATAACATAGTCTACACACAGAATTACACCTTTATAAAAGTGGACAAACATATCACAATTAAGCAGCAAAGCTAAATTATTCTCGTTAAAAATCATTTACCAAATTTATCTTTATTATGCTCAAGTAGTAAAATAGTTTGTCTCAGTATCAATAGACTTCATTTAGTTTATTTATTTTCTCATAATTAATCAAATGCCATATTTCCAAATAAAAAATAACATTGGAATTCACTGCATGATATAAATCATGAATTACTGAATAGTACAGTCTAGTTTATTCATTCTTTTTTCTCTAAGTAACAATAGTCATACGATTTATCATGTGAATCGCTTATTTGTAACATGCAATAATAATCCAAGAAGCACATGTTGTCATGGTGTGGTAAAAATATAAGCATAAACATACTTGATGATAGGTGGTGTCATATTAAAATCCTAATATTTGATCTATTCATTTCGATAAGAAAAATCCAACAAACAATATCTAATATTTCAGAGATGATCATAGAAAAAAATAAGCAAGTTTTCACAGCTTTGACTTAATTATTTAAAGGACATTTAAGAGAATTGAGAGATTAAAATCATACCAAAAAAGAATCCGATGACAGTGAGTCAGTTATCATCTACATAGAGCCTGCCAATGATATCGATCAAAGTGCCATATACATATATACTGATTGATTACTAAGTAGTGTCCAATATTTTCTGTCTAGTCCTTTAGTATCTATCGAATTCTATCAATCAATTTGCAGTGTGATCACTAGACTAATTGGTTCGATATCGTGTACACTTTGTCTTGATGTTAGCTGGTTGAAAATAGAAAGAAGGTAAAATTAGACTCTGGTTTCATGATAGTTGGAAATGACCACAGCAAGGTGATACCTTGAATCTTACGGAAGCTAACGTAACCTAGCTTACTCTAATGACCAATAAGTAATTCACTTTTCATCAAAAATAAGTGTTAAAACGAATTTCACCAAGATAAACAAAACTGCGTTATAAAGAGATCTCTGAAAAGACAAAGGTATTCTAACAACAATAAGATAAACAAAAATAATCAATTTGCATTTTATAATGGAAAAACAAATCAAGGAAATAACAAACCTCCTGTTGTTGTGATCCGTTTAAATTTTTCACAGTAGAATTAGTAGTACACATTGGTAGTGGTAAACTTACAGACGTCATTTTATTTTTACCAGATGTAGATGTAGAATGTCCAATAATAGGTAAGCGGTTCGTATTTAAATTTCCAGTTGTTAATGGATAATTCACGTTAATAATCGGTGTACGATTGATAGAGCATGATGTTGTCATTGTTACTCCTGGTCCTATTGTAGATAATGATGTAGTAACAGAAGTTTCTTGATGATATCCAACTGAATGCGATCGTGCTAATATATTTCTTGTGTCGCATGGCAAGCTATTAATTGCTTCTGAAAGAAAATTTAAAAAATGACTAGTGTAACAGTAATTAACGTGTAATGAGCAAGATTATGCTCATTATTTGTAATGGTTTGAGAAATTCAATGGTATGGCTCAAAATCAGTCTACTCATAGATCTTGAGTTACAATAATATTCCATACTCCATATTCCACGAATTAATTCCTTCTTCTCGAACCAAATCCTATATATCCTAATCTTTTTTTCATCACAGCCACCTTTAATACGTTCATATTTATCTTGCTAATTTTATCTATCTATACTGATGTGATGTGACTTGGATCGATGCACATTTGTGTCAAGCCCTATATAGCATATGACTGGTTGAAGTTTGTTAAATTATCTACAAGATTAATATCAGTAGTAGCTAGATTATTTTGGAAGTAAATGTAGTGCAACTGAAGGATTCTACAGACAACCACCTATTTCGTTTGTAAAAATAATTGTTTTAAACAAGGTCCGAAATTTTAAACAGTTCCAAAGCTTGATACTGAATCATCAAATTGCTTTCTGCGTTCACTTATAGGAAAAAAACTACACATACTATATGTCTACATCACTTTATGACTCAAAATAACTAAATGCTAACGATTCTCATTATAACTGATCAATCCAATAATGCACTTCATTATGTTACACGTATGTTATTCCCTACAGAGTTTAAAAGAGACACCAAGTATTTCTTAAATATTTAGTTTACGTCACGGACTGAATTAAACTGAACAACCATTGAGAACCAACAAGAAATAAATAGCTGTTTCATTTTAATATGAGCCTTTTTAATATTAGGCATCTATGACGCCGTTGTGGATCGCGAACCAGGACCTTTAAGTCTGGTGGAAAACAAAAAACCTTCAGACCACAGAGTTGAAACTCACTTATTTGCATTTATAACTTTAGACGACCAGTAATATCATAGTTAGAATACTTGCGAATTTTTTAAGACATAAATGGTTGAGTGGTATAGTTCAATGAGTAGGGTGATTTTAAGAATGATTTATTGCTTTGAGTCACAATTGATTTAATCGCTATACCTCCAGAGAGTAGTAATATTCTGTGATAATAATCCAGTAGGAAAATCCTATACATATGCATTACTTTTGATAACTCAGTCACTTGCCTTACACAGTCAATATAGTTCCTCATATCGACTCGCTTTCGCTATCAGATTAAAGCTTAAAAAATTTGTATTGATTGACTGTAGTATTAGACTCCAAATTATAGCATCAAGTTTTTTAAACCTCGAACGTCCCGTTCAATCAGTGTTTAGAAGGCCAGTTGAATGTTGTAAAAAAAGAACTACTGCATCATAAAACCAGACATCAGCTCACCTGCTTCAGTTTAAATAACCAATAAATAGTATTTTTACTTTAAAACCTTCTACGAGAACGTTTACTTTATTACTTAGTTCGGGATAGATATCCATTCAAATGCAATGAACTAATGAATCATTTGACAGTCCAAGTCAATAAATTAACTTTCATTATTTAATAAATAAAAATTGCACAAGGAAAACATACATTATTAAAAAATAAACTCGTACCTTTCGACCATCCAGTAGAATTATTTACTGATGTTAATGAGAACGATGCGATAAAATTATCATTACGTTTGTTATTTGCGTTATTAATACATTTCGTATTAAATATCATTTTATCAGATGAATTCATTAGTAATTTATCTGAATCATCATTTAAACATTCATATTTCATTACATCTACGGGAGTTGATGACACAGTATTAGAATGCTGAAGAAATATTTTCGATAATGGCGGTAGACTTGTTGTTTGAGGTGACTGAGATGGATGTCTTAGTGGTTGGGTCTTATGCATTAACGACATATTGGATTGAAATGATTTACTATGATTCCATAGATTTTCGTCCCGACTAACAAATAAACCCATTGAGTTACATTTGTTATTATTAACACTACTATGATGAAGAGAAGGTGAATCAACTAAAGTTGTATAAACAGCAGTTGTATTGGTGGTATTAGTAGTTGAAATATTACATAAAAGATTTTTTAAATCCAAATTTAAATAATTTAACATTTCTATATCATTATCAGTTAACACATTTCGGTTATTGTTAATTAATTCAACAAGTAAATTGTTTGATTCTGTGGATGAAGTTAACACTTTTGGATTATGTTGAGTTACATTAATAGGTAAAGTTGGCCAACATGATTTTGACTTATCCGTAAGAACGTTTTTAGCTTGTATAGAATCGGTTGGTGGCACAATATATTTATTGACAGCGGGAACAGTAACATCAATTGGTATAGTTGATGGAATATTGGAATAGTATGTCGTATTCGGTTGACAAGAAGCTAAAGGGACCTGTAGGAAAAAACACTTGTGATATATATTATATCATAATTTATTAAATTGTTTAACATGTTTAGTTTTCGGAATTCACTGATAAATCGTGTATATACATAAACGAATTTTACAAAACTAGCCCCCAAATGCCCTGGTATGGCCGAGAGTGGTGTGGGTTCGCCCTCTCTCTCGAAATACTCTCACATGGCCACGCGTATACAGCCTCTGCCAGGGAAGTCCTACTCACTGCCTTCTCGTGGCGGGGGTGTGGTTTACGAAAATGAGAAGACGAAAAGCGAATGTCCGGTACTTTAACCGGATCCCAAACCAAATCAATGGTGCACGTGCGCTCCACTATCCTAAGGGAACAAATGGCGTAAGAACCAACTTTCGGTCACCGGCTTCTATGGGACTGCATCTCCTCACGATACTCCACTGCCTTGTGGATTAGACCTTTAGGTCAACGGCTCGGGGTGTGGTCCCCTCAGAAAACCACCTGCTTCGGTTTGGGCACCCGGGCAGTATCGCAGCCCGCACACAAAAACATGATAAACTGTCTACATATGAAAAATATTCCTCTCGCCTCAAATAACAATCAAGTGACTCGCATTATTATTATTATTATTATTATTATTATTATTATTATTATTATTATTATTATTTACTAGGTCATTATTCACCGTCTTTTATTCCCACTCTGTTTATACTTATTTTTTCGATTTATGCAGCAGCTCGTCTGTGGTGGAAATTCGACTGTATCTAAACGTTCTCGAGTCACGGTCCGGTTGAAAATTGTACGTTACCACCGAATATGAGTACTGAAGCAGTTTTTCTGAAACCACGCGCACCATTCAAACTGGCTGCCTTCAACGTTCGCACATTTATGCAGGTCGGACAACAGATAGGGCTGGCTATGTCTTTGGAAAGTCTTAATATCGACGTGTGTTGTCTATCCGAGACCCGTATTCAAGACTCTGGCGAAGTACTACAAATTCGCTCACCATCTGTCGCTTCAAAAGCTTGTTCTACGTGCGTTTATCCGGGGGCCTTGTGGCATCTTCGTATGGTCTTGCTGGCGTTGGTGTCGCACTAAGCGCTAGACCTGAGGCAGCACTAATCGATTGGATCCCCATTAACAGTCGGTTATGTGCTGTTAGGTTAGAGAGCTCCATCAAAGTGAGAAGAAATAGGCGTGAGAAACGATGACTTTTCGTCATCTCCGCCTATGCCCCGACAGATTGCAACCCAGATGCAATCAAGGATGAGTTTTACCACCAATTATCTATTCTTTTCCAGAATGAACGTTCGACAGATATTGTAGTACTAGCCGGAGACTTGAATGCTCAGGTCGGGCGTCTAGGCACAGAAGAGAGTCGTTTAGGTGGCCGATGGGGACTCGTTGGTCACAGGTTAGATAACGGGGACCGTCTACTGCAACTTTGCACAGACCACAACCTGTTTCTGGCTAGCACTAACTTTCGGCACAGTCATCGCCGATGTGCCACCTGGCGTCCTCCCTCTGCATCTCAAGCCTGGACTCAGATTGATCACATCGCGATCAGCTACCGCTGGCGTGGTTGTGTACAAGACTGCCGCTCCTTTTCGAGTACCTATCTGGACTCTGACCATGCTTTAGTCTGCGCTAATCTTACCTTACTTTTCAGTGGCCAACGAAGTGACGGCCATCAACGGATTGATGTTAGCAAGCTGGTTGCAACTTCTGTTGCAAGTAAGTATCGAACCGAGCTAGCTTCTAGGCTAGCTACCATTCCACTGAAAAGTATAGATGAGCATTGGTTGCAATTGCATGACGCCATGAAAATGGCGGGTACAGTCAATTGTGGGTTTGCGAAACGTCCCGCTTTTAAGCACTGGGTTTCTCCTGGTTCCTTACAACTCATTGAAGCCCGTCGGTCTACTCCGAGTGACCGTGAGTTCGACCACAAACGAAGGATGTTACGTAAGGAAATTGGGCAAAGTTTGCGTAAGGACCGAGAAGCCAAGTGGTCGAAGCTTGCTAATGAGCTGGAAGCAGCAGCTGCATCTGGTAATTACCGGAAGCTCTTCCAACTCATCCGAGCCACTGGCAGCAAGAAGTCTGCTGTGAGCGAAACAATCTGCGAGGATGATGGGATGCCAATCACTAACATCCATCGACGTCTTGGACGATGGGCAGAATTTTTCGAAGGGCAGTTCAAGTGGCGACATTGTTTACAAAGGTTTGGGAACTAGAGAGTGTACTAACGTCATGGAATGAGTCGATAGTTGTCCCTATCTTTAAAAAGGGTTCACGTCGTTCCTGTAACAACTATCGGGGGATAAGTTTACTTCCAAAGGCGTCCAACCGATTGGCTTCTGTCATACTTCGTAGGTTGTTCAAAACCCGAGAAAGATTGACTCGCGAGGAGCAGGCTGGGTTTCGTTCTGGTCGAGGATGTATTGATCATATATTCACCCTCCGCAAAATGTTAGAACACCGCCATACTTATCAAAGGCCAACAATAGTAGTGTTTCTTGACATCAGGGCTGCCTTCGATTCGTTGGACAGGACTGTTCTCTGGGATTGTCTATTGAAGAAGGGTGTGCCTGAGAAGTTTATTAACATCCTAAAAGGCCTGTATAAAAACACCTCAGGCAGAGTGATGGCATACAACCACCTCTCTCCATTGTTCCATTCGAGCAGTGGGGTTAGGCAGGGTTGCCCAATCTCACCATTCCTCTTCAACTTTGCCATCGATGACATTCTGGAAACAGCTCTGATGAATGTAAGTAACGGCGGTGTGGATCTGTTGCCTGGAGAAAGACTTCTCGACCTTGAGTATGCGGACGATATTGTCTTACTGTGCGATAATGCCCAAGGCATGCAATCCGCACTTAATCAGTTGGCAATCAGTGTCCGTAGGTATGGTATGTGCTTCGCACCTTCGAAGTGCAAAGTACTTCTACAAGTCTGGCAGGATTCCAATACTGTACTCACCCTGGACGGTGAGCAGAAAGAAGTAGTCGAGAAGTTCGTGTATCTGGGTAGCTGCATAAGTGCTGGTGGGAGTGTGAGTGATGAGATCAATGCACGTATAGTGAAAGCCAGAGCGGCTTATGCCAATCTGGGCCACCTTTGGCGCCTTCGTGATGTTAGTCTGACTGTAAAAGGCCGGATCTACAACGCGTCGGTGAGAGCAGTTTTACTCTATGCTTGTGAAACCTGGCCTCTCCGAGTTGAGGATGTTAGGCGACTCTCTGTGTTCGATCATCGTTGTCTCCGAAGGATTGCTGACATCCAGTGGCAACACCATGTCAGTAATGCAGAGGTTCAGCATCGTGTGTTCGGGCACAGAGACGATAATGCAATTGGTGTCACCATCTTGAAACATCGACTTCGATGACTTGGACATGTTCTACGAATGTCGTCCCAGAGAATTCCACGTCGTGCATTATTTGACGACTCTGGGACTGGTTGGAAGAAGCGGAGAGGTGGTCAGTGCATGACATGGTGTCGTGGGATGAAAGAAAGCTGCAAAGAACTAGCTTCTGTTGGTCCTTCACGACTCCCTGGTTGGGGTCCGAGAGATGGTGCTACATAGTGGCTAGAGACGTTATCAGATATGGCTCAGAATAGAAGCCAGTGGCGATCCTGCTGTAACCTTCTTTTACTTTCTTCGTAAAACGTAGTTGTATCTTCCTTAACTGAAAGATTTCTTCTGACTGTACCTTTCCGTCCCCCCACTTTTACCATTATTATTATTACATCACCTTACATCAATCTCTTCGTTATTATTCTCTTTTTTCGCCTTCCCCCTAAATTCTCATTGTTTTGTGTGGCGCATATATATTTGGCGCACTCTTGTACCAATATTTATGTGTCCAAAATACAAATAAAATAAATAAATAGGGGGGAGAATGCTAAAAAATACAGACATTAATGCTTTTGTTTATTTCTCTTACCTCATTTGAGTATGAGTACGATAATGATAGTGGTAAACGCCCAAAAGATGAACTAGAGGTAAGAAAATAAAAAAGACAAACTAATTCATTACATAATTGTAAACAAATATCTATACGCGTAGAATTTATTGTTTTAGGCACCTTCCTTACACCATCTAAATTGAACACATTGAGTTTTTTTTAAGTAAACAACCATAATCATGAGTTTTGATGGAATCGAGAAGATCCCTACATGAAAAATGGAAATCTGATATTACGCCTTCAGGCTAAAATATATACTTAAAAATATGATCCGAACAACTTTAAAAGAACTAATAGTCATTAAAGCACGAAAGAAGACTACATAGTTTTTAGATGATGTCCATTGGGATATCTGACCAATCAAAGTTATCCGCAGAATTGTACACAATCAATGATTGTGAGGCTACAGAAGATATCCGTTTAATCGTCATAGCAAAAAAATCATACATTTTATATCCAACTACTGTTCATATTAATCATTATTCAATTGTTTACAGAATACTTTAAAAAGAAATTTAACTGAAATTCTTTTATGCAAAGTTGATTAAATGAAGAATCCGATAATTGTATGATAATTAGAAGTATTCGAATTAATGTACTGACTGGGCATTCCCGAAATACCACAATTTAAGGGAGGAAAACTAAATGGGCACAAATGAACATATTATATTTAGAATTCGTAATTAGCGGGCAATCGAGTATAAACGAATCACAAGTTCGTACAAGTACCACAAATTGATTAATCATTTAATGTTAGTGCATTATTATTAAGAATCTTTATCAAGCAAAAAACCAATGATATTACTATTAATAGTCTTCCTCCTGAATTTTTCCACAAATGAAAATCAACACAAAACAACTATATTGAATATGTTTCGATATGACAGTTTTTTACAGAAATTTAATTTCATTGTTGATATACTTATCGATCATTTTATTTCAGATATGATAACACCACTTCCCTTGATACTTTTTGGTTCGCCTAGTTTCTCTTCAAGGAATAAACAACTCAAATTCATTTACTTCGATATTTTTTAGATATAACAAACAAGCTATTTGTACAACATTTGTTACTTTTTGTATGCAGAAATCAACGATAAATTCTAAACCAAAATACGAATACATACGTACGTCATCAATCAGATAATTCCAAAATAAAGAAATGCAATTTTAAATTACTTATCAATTGTATACTTACTTGACTTTTAGTCACATTATTATGAGTGAAAGTTACTTAAAATGAAGCAAGTAAAGTGGGGGGAGTCGAACACGAACCTAGAGTTCATATTTTTAGTGATTTAACGACTAAGTCATCTTTTTACCAGCTTTTATCGGGACAATCAAGTAGTAGTACTAGTGATCACACATGAAGATGTGTCTCAAAACCGAGTACAGCACACAACTGAACTCGATTAAAGTACTTATTACGAATAGAAATATCATCAATAAAAGTCAGGAACAATTCAGTCCATACAAAAAGAAATAATGAACAAAAGACAGAATAAGATATTGGTAGTAATAAGCTATCAGCACTCAACAGCTAAGTGGATAACGCGGTGGTTTGAGGAGAACGGTGTTAGGTTCGAGTCCCTGGGTGGACACTGATTCTGGGATGCAGGTACATCCAGCTGATGAGTCCTAGGTAGGACGAAACGCATGTCCTGGATTTCACTGCTAGCCACTATCCACCTTTGCTTACAATACTTGTGACTTAAGGCAATATCGAGGCGATCCGCACAGGATGCACATATGCCAATAAAAGACCTAAACATTAGTGGAAAGATACAAAATGAATTAATAGTAATAATTAAAAAGATCATCGAGCGAAAATTCATAACGATTGGAAACATATGGTCTGCTAGCAAAAACACAAGCTCTCCTTTTAATTCTGGTGATTACGCAATAATAAGACGAGTGAGTAACGAAAAAATAAAGTGAATCAATTGTTTATCTCTTTATCCCTCTCAAGCATTTTGTGTAGCACTCGTAAATAAGTGAATGATGAAAGATAAAAATCATAATAAGGTATTCCTGTTTTAGGTAATTTAAACTAATACAGTGTAACAACTACGCCTATTTATTTGAAATGTACTTTAACGTTATTCAGAATAACAAAGAAAATTTTCGTATTAAAATATTCAGATGATCAGTGAACATTACCAAAAATAATAACACCCAATAACGGGTAAAAGACTGGACGAGACCAATAAATGGACAATGTTGAGGTTAGATGAAGAGGTTAAGACAAGAAGTCCAAATAAAGTAAATAATAATGTGTACTTGTAAAGAGTACGATGATGACAGTATCAAAAATCTATTCAACATCCATTTCAACAACTTTGCCTGTAACAAGGTTTAGAGGGATACAACTTAAAAATGAACTTACAAAAATACTGAACTAAGACAAAGTTAATTGAAAGTAAGAACTACACTTTAATCAATAGTTAATTTATAATAAGCGCTGCAAAAGTTAATATGAAACATCAGAATGTAGAAATGACTTATATTGGTTACGCGGAAACAATATCTGGAACTTAACATCCAACGGGAAATTACCTCCAATACAAACCTTTTTAAAAAAAATTCATATTAATAGTTTTAATAAGATTATAGAAAACATCATATTCTAAAAAAATCATAAGAATACAGAAAAATTACATCCATTAAAGGAAGAAATGAACAATCAACATTCAAAAATATATATCACCATTGATTCTAATGACGAAATAAATCACCTGATTAGATTACCTTGTTGTAGTAGTCGTATATGAAGAATTATTTATTTCCAAAAGTTTATCAGCTTGTTCTACTTCAGAATCCAAAATTAACAATGATGAATGATTAAAGTGTTTCTGGACTAATTTATTGCCTATATTCATCATATTCGAGAATTTACATTCCTATAATAAAAAGCATAAGAAATGGCAAACGATATTACATGGAGTCATCTTTTTTGTGAAAAAAAAATGGGAATTTGTGGAGATTTTAGTCATTTTAATAATCGAATTCATGAGTCGTGCTTCCAAGTTTTCACTGGTGGTCTAACATTGATCGACTTATGATTCCAATCAAAAACTCAACAATCTCCACAATCCCATATTGCGCAAAACCACTGATTGATTGGGGTTAGACATTAACACCGTTGGGTGCCAGCCCAGTGGCCTAGAGGTTAAGCGTTTGAGTGCGAGACCAGAAGTCCTGGGATTGTGGATGAGCACTGCCGAGGAGTCCCATAATAGGACGAAATGGCCATCCAGTACCTCCAGGTTTTCAGTTGGTTCATAAATTCAACTATTAAAAAAGAACACATGAATTACAAAACTTGATTCTTTGACAATTTATGAAAAATAAACTAAAGAACAAATAAATAGACAAGAGTAATATTGTAGAACGGTTTATTTCATCCATTTTTTTACCAGGATTTAAAGTGGAACAACGAAATAAAATTGACAAAGACTAGTTAACCTTTAATACAAAGCTAAAATAAGTTTAATTCACACACATAAACACACATATTACCTATAGATAAATACATTTTCCATTAAAATGATTATAAATTCAGTCTGGGCAAATTTTATGTATTTTTAGAAGAGAATAGGAAAAGAAAAATTGTTGAGGAGTGGAGATAGGAATTAAACAAAGACCTTAATATTTAGGTCAATTAAGGTCATCTGTGTTGTGTATACCAGATGGATAAAGAGCTTAAGGTAGGAATGTATAAACATAAGGTCAACAACACACAAAGAATAAGAATAAAGCATTTTAAAATAAGGCTGTTTTCAAAATCACAATTGTATAGTGATAATTATGCTAACAAGATGAAAACAGAAAAATTTTCACATGTACACAGTATGACAGATTTTCCAATAACTGTAAACTGACAAAAACTTAAAAGCAAAAAAGATTAACGAGTTAATATGATCTTCGAGTACGAAATTTACTGTGTAAGATACATTTTAAACTGTAGAATATAATAACAGTGATTTAAAAAATACTGACTTCAAATGTTACCTTTTTATCTAGTCATATCAAAACAAAAATTGGTAATTGAAAGAATACATAGATAAAATACAAAAAATAAACGTATGATTTACAGTGTATTGAGAATATAAAACATTTAGATAATAGTTCAACATCTTGAGAGTAAGTACATTACAAGAGTGAAATGTATACCATGAAAGATTTTATTCAGTTTACAGAATTCTATGGAATAATGTGATTTCTTCTTTATATAATAGAAGGTAGAGTTGAATCACTTGAATGAAAAGTCTAAACTTATTTATAACCATGGAAAAAAATAGTCCGTAAGTACATTAACTCAAATTGTCTTGAGTGAAAATACAAAATAACTGAAATCACACACTTTTTAAAGAAAGTTTTTAAATAACAACTGAATATTGACCAGTTGGCTATCATAAATGAATGTGATAGGAATTACATCACATTATACGTATCATACGTTGAAGTAACGGTACTTAAATTAGTAAAGTTTCTTGCTAACCTAAGGTTTTTAATACTCCTCATTTATATTTCTTTGCACATTCATTAGGTTCTAAGTCTTAAACTAGCATAAAGCATTCACATTTACGTAGACATACATCTCGTATATACCAAAGATGAAGTTGATAAAAATTGCACATTCTTCTCTATGTTCACTGAGAGTTTGTTATTCAACAACTCACCATGAGATGGGACTTCAAAACAGCGAATTGCTTAAGGCACATATACTTAGCTCCCTATAATTAGGCTAGAACTCCACCTGGGGTCCTCTAGAGTTGTTCCAAGTCCGTGAAAAGTAGGAGGCTTAAGTGTAAAGTTAGCGACCCCACCTCGTAAAAGGGAAACTCACTAAAAACACGCCAACCAGAAAAAATAAATCAAACTATTTAAAATGTCTCTTAGATGTTGAAGGGTCTTCATATACAAAAGTTATCACGCCTAATGATAGGAACCGAGATTCTTTGGAAATCAAGAGGCCTCTCTGACAACCAGAGCAACAATTAATATAGGTACACAAAACTTTCGAACAATGTGGAAGACCGGGAGAGTCATTAGAATAACCACACAATGAAGACAATGCAGTCTGTCTATACTTGGGATACGTGAAACTCATTAGACAAAAGAAGGGGGAAGAAACTCGTAACGTGATCATGCGGAAGGAAATGTCCCATAAACGCAGGGAATACCACCAATGTGATTTAAAGAACCACTTAATGGTGAAGTTGTGGGGGAGATCGATGCCTTTATGTAACTGGACGACATCAGTGATAAACAAGGAGGATCTTATGCAAATCCCATGTTGCGAATTAGTAAACCAAGGTCAGCATTTCTAAAATTGGAGAATATATGGATTCAAAAGAACTGTTAGACAACAATAACGTCACAGTTTTCAACACCAACTTTGAAACAGTTCTACTGCATAAATCTGCAATGTGGAGGACTGCTATAACCATAACCAAAAAGTATAGATATTTATAAACAGCTGTTTACGCGAGATATTCCGGACTCATTCGCCAAAGACGATCAGAAACCACCGATAATGTTAGAGAACAAACCAGCCCCCAGTTGAAGAGGAAATTAGGAAAAGACGTTGAAGGTGGATAGGACACACTTGCGGAAATCACAAAGTAAGACTTAATTTGGAAGTTTCAAGGTCAGAAAAAGAGGCAGATCAAACAATACATGATGCCGGGAACTGAAGCCAGATATGAAGAATAAGAAAAGATTGCAACAACTGAGGAGAGCTCAGGTAAAAGTTGTTTCGAGATCCCTGATCGACTGTCTATAACCGATTCGTAGTAGCAGGCATAAGTGAGTGAGTGGGGTTTATACTGGGCATCGGAGAAGACTAGTCCGGTATGATCGTTTTTCATTGTTACATAAGGCTTTTAAACGACTATGTATTTTGTTTGCATTTCCAGCAAGCAGAGCTCTGTGTCCCATCTAACAAAAGGCCTCCAGTAAGTCAGTGTACTTCTTAGTTCATCTTTCAATGACAGACACTGTCATATGATTTTTTTAAATCAAAGAAATCAAATAGCCGCTGTTAAACTAAGAAATATTATTTTAATTGGATCTTGACATATGTGGACGGACTGATAGAAACGATGAAATCCGTTAGTTACAAATGGTTAATATTATGGACCACAAAGGTTTGCTCAACCATATTTGAACTTTTACTGAATCTGGGGAATTTAAAGGTTAGTTTGCTAAACGTAATCTTGTACTGATATGACCTGTCGCCATGAACCATGAATTATCCTTTTTGTCAATGAACAAAGTGGTGAATCAACAACCAATAATAATTTATATAGAATATTGAAGTTTGAATGAAAAAGTGGTTTCTTTGTCAAGCTGCAAAATTTAATTTACCAATCTCATTAACAGTGATTATCTAACCATTTATACAGACGAAGTAGTTGCACAAAAAATTTAAGTGGGTGTGTATTCAATTATGTTACAACTCATATATATACCAACAAAAAATTATAACTTGATGCCATTAACAAAGACTATAGATAACATACATTTCTAACTACACAATAAACCTTTTCTAAACCTGATTATCAAGGTCAGTAGATAGACTACTTTCTCAGCAAAAAACGAAAGGTGCATATACGAGTTAAAGAGAAAGATTGCTTACATGTATACTGAAAACGGTTTAGGTAACTCATTTACTCAATTGAAACTAGATTCTGATAAACATATTTCCTATTTCTATTTGGTGAGGATATCCCTATTGTTTATTTTAGCACTGACAGGAGAAAATGAATAAATAATATAATGTACCTTGTTTCAAAACAAAAGAAAAAGCAAATTAGTAGTCTCTTACTTCAAACTAATGTAGTACAACGAATCTCTCTCTGAATACATATATAACCACGTTAATTTGCTTTGCTTCTAGCCACACTTTAATTCCACAAGGGCTTGTGATGAAATACACTATAGTGACAGAAGTCAAGATACCATGATGATGTGAATTAATGATTAGTGAAAACAGTTTCTACACTATACTTTCAAGGAACAAATTGACGAAGGACAATTATACTCATAATCATAGTAATACCAATCATAAACTAATTATAGAAACTCACTCTATCAGCAGATAATATTGTAGTAGGTTTTGTAACAATATCAGTGGGAAATAGACAATCTTGAGAGTAACTATTACTACTCTCAGATTCTGATAAAATATTTCTAGATTCACCTAAACCAGATGTTAATGTTGATATATTATCTCGTGGGTGAACAATAGCATTAAATCGATCTAATGAATTGCTGATTAAATGAAGTAGATCTGTACCCTCCATATCATCTTCGTCGATAAGATCATTTGTATCTTTTGAAGATAGATATGTGTCAGTAAGATTAGATGGACTCATACTTCGAGCATGTTGTTCTGTATTAGTTAGTCGCACATTTCTTAGTGTCTTTTCTTTAACAGGGCACTGTAACGAAAAAAAGAAAGTAAATATATTTTCAGGAATGTAACAAATGGGAATACTTTTCCAAAGGATCTGGACTTTTGTTATTTTCGGTATATTCAGCTCGAAATTCTTAGTATAATAAGAATAATTTTAGAGCAACCTTTCACACTTATGTAGGTGACTATTGTAACCAAATAATACCTAACCATTACTTTAGGGATATTTTACATGACTGACATTTCTCAGGAGTTCGAATTTGAGTATGTTATTTAACACGAAGATACCGGACCTTGAAGCTTTACAAATTAGCAGTATTATATGAGTTATAGAATTATGTATTTCTGGGGGAATTATACTAACTTTAATTAATTATAGATAAATTGGTGTCACGTACAAGGTCGTAACATTGCTTAGGAATCAATATCTAAAACAATTGTTTGCAAATTATATACATACTGGATAATGAGCAGATGGATCTATAGGAACCCATGAGGTAGTAGAGAGCTTTTCAGCCACTAAGTCGTCAGTTCGAATTCTGCTCACCCTCTGCTTCAGTCTGGGCACTCGGGTAATATCACTAGTCCTTACACTTATTATTTACCTCGAAAGCAATTATACGAGTAAGTAGTTGGTAAATGGGTGAATAAACCCGCAAGATATACAAAAATATATATATTTCAGTTGAAGGTTGACCCCATTTAATTACATTTATATTTAGATATGTGGTTTGAGACTGAAAATTAATGCACAGATATTTTTCATCAGCCGGTGAAAAAAATCATCTGTATTCACAAATCCACATGCGATAGAAACTAAGATTAATAACTCAGAATCTAGTGAATCGAATTTTCGACTCCAGTATGTTTACTATCTCATTTTCCATAGTTCTCGGGATACTATTTTGTAAAGTACAATTATTGTCGCATGGATATATGTTCCATCATAAAGAAGTAATACTGTTAAAATTTTCCATAACAACTTAGTTATTTTGTTAAAAAACGAATATGTTGATACCTATAAGTGTACACATATAAGACCAACAAATATTAGGGATTCTTGACTATAGATAGGAGTAAAAATGAAAATAATATCTATATTTGACAAAATTTATAAAATGGATTAGTTATTCATAACGAACCAACCGTATGATAATAGTTTAAATACAATTAATACAATTCATAATAAATCTTGTTCAAATGCACCGGTTTCTGTTAATTAAAGTTACTCAAGATCAAAGCAATCATGACTTCGAATTACACTCTACAATTTAGTCATTTCAAGTCCTTTTTAACTTCCAGAAGTAACATTCTACGAAAGATTTTGGGTAAATCTACCTCTTAATATTAAGTCCAGAGATGGTCATTTACGCTGATCGAATTAAGGGACTTTTCATGTACTTTGAGTGCATATAAATCACTCGATAATTATGAATACTGTGTATTTTATTATCAGGGATGTGGATACGAATTAAGCTAGTACCTTGAAGTTTCATATGATAAACAGACAAACAAATTAATCTGGAACAAACTATAAATACTGACACCATAACAATATACGGTAACAAAGTAGTTAGCATGGTTGCATAACACAATATTACAAAAAACAGGAGCTTTATAGAAAGCAACGGTTAACAACAACTGTAACTCTTGTGTGTTAAAAATTGTCATTCGATAAAGCATTTCTCAAGGTTATTTAGTAAACGGAACTCCATAGAGATGTGATTTCTCAATTCTATATCAAAATATGGGTTGAAAATGAATTAGCTGAGACAATCTAGTGAATGATTATTTACCGTTGAATTAAGTAGCCCATGTAACCAAAAAATGGTGCAGATGATTTACTTACTTTAATAGGATTTGTTTGAAGTTTTAAAGCATTGGACACAGAGTGATTCAACCCTAATGCAGCCATTTGATCTTTTGTGGAGTTTAGCGGACATGTGGGACTGATTATTCGTGATTCGTAAATAGGTCTAGATTGGATTAAGTGCTGAGTAGAACTAGAGGACAGAATATTTGACGTATTCGTGGGAAAAGAATAAGAAACAAGATGATGGTTAGTTGCATAGTCAATTAACTCCTCAACGAAACCTTCATCTTCCACCTGAAATGGGTTGGTAACCTCAACAATCGAAGATTCTGTTAAATGACTACCTCCATTGGTTACTATTGTATCTGATTTAGTGTGACTAGAAATATAAACAAAAAATGGTTTGAATTAATTGATATTATCACTTTACAACGAAAATTATGTACAACAAGTAGATCAAGGGGTATTAATAGGTTGTCGGACTTATGCATGAAGTACCATTTATTTTGAAATGAAAAGCTTAATAATACTTTCGAAGTTGCACTCTGAAATCCGCGTCTGAATAGAAGTTGAGAGAGAGTTATCCCAACAAAGCGTTAACCGGTCGCCCAATGGCTAGCAACATTACTGAACATTTTGCGTCCCAAAATCGATTTATTTGGAATACTGACTGTGTTATATAACTTTGCTGACTGACTTTGGTCACATAAGCTATAAACCACCGTGGTTATCAGTTAGTAGTCATTACGACTAAATGGCCAGTGTATTGTGTAGTTCACTTTGAACAACGTTTTGGCTGTTAAACATGGGTTTTGAAGGCAAAGAGCACATGTAGGTAACTAATTTTGACAACAGATATTTCCAAAACGCTGCTTGGGTTTAGTGAAACCAAGAAAAATATGTTAACGGGGTCATTTTCATACATGTTACACATGTCCAGCCACTCTCGATTCTAATACGTAATGGAGGCTATCATAGTAGTCGGAAGTCGACAGTTAATAACGGTCAAACCAACAACATCAGTTCAGAAAGTCATCCAATGCTATTCTGAGCTCTGAACGGGAGCTCAAACTTCTAAGTTAGAGTCGTTCGGTGCCATGTGTTAAAATTCGCCGCATCAGTATATGTGTATTCAGTTCACTTATTCTTGAATTTACTTATAACTTCATTTGTTTTATCCTTTAATTTATTTTGTTCTTTCTTAACTATTTTCAGTATACCCATATTTTTTTACTACAACTAACACTACTTTTGCTTTCAGTTTTCTCTCGCTAAAAAGATGCAGTCTATCAGTGTTTATATCAGGTCCTGTGTTGTGTATAAATGAATGATTTCAGAAGTGCAGCATACTTAGTTTAAAGTTTAGACCCAGAAAACATTATTTGACTAACTGAACCTTTTTATATACAGACATGGTTCGGCCACTTCATTTACATTATTTTATAGCTATAATCACAGCATGTCATAGGAATCCACAAAAAATGAATTGACCCTAAAATTGTCTGACAATAGATGACGACATTACCTAAGCCAAAGGCATCCTATTACTAGGTTAAGAATAATAGGCGAACGGACATACACCGTACAAATTAGTCACCTGACGACCCCCTCCAATATTCAGGTTAAGGTCAGACACACCCAATAGGAAATGAAAAATATCTACGTTCTAGGTCATAGTTACGCATGAGATACACACCAATAATTAATCATCTTGTTTCTTTGTTTAGAAAAACACGTAGGTAGTAGGCGAAATACGACAGACATATGGTGCGATATTTTTGAATATTAAAGTTTACTGATTTTTGAAAACGATCTACGTCATCAGGTGCGTACAACAGTAAACTGCAAACTATTTAATCAGACTGATCAAAAATATACAAAACTGGTGTTCATAATGTAGAATTTATGCCAGAAAGTATATTTAAAATTGGTTTTGCCCCCACTGCTAACAGTGGTGAGGAAATAAATTCGACGTGAAATAGATTTTACTTCCCTACCGGATAAAGCATTAATGTCTGATATGTGAATGAGATGAACAGTTACAACCAGCAACTAGATACGACTCGTAAAAATATGTGGTAGTGAACCAACGGAAGATAGTGAGGTTTATAATAACGAGGATCTAACTAACCAGATTGGAGGATATCTAGACACACTTTTAACAACTAGGATCTTGATATTATAATAAGAGAATTCAATGGACTATTGTCTCCGGATGTGATTGCAAACATGGAGTTGGGTTCACTGAAGAGGGTGTTTACAGAAATACCATTTCAAAATCACGAACATAAGGTACAGAAACGTTTGTTTTAGGATACTACAATTATATCTTGAGAAGTACAGATAAGAGACCTCACTGACTAACTGGAGAAAAATATGTCAAGTTGGACTAATAAATATCCAAGTGATACGTAATTCATTAATTCTGAATACCTAAATAGTTGTGATGGATGTGCATATTGAAATAGAACTACCGCATTAGATCCGGTCAGTTACAACATGTCGATAGGCCTAAAAGAATAAAAGGTGCGACAACGTTACATTAGCCATTGACACAAAAACCCAATTTTTTCGGGACACTGCACCTACACATGTCCCTTAATAATTTCTATGTAATATGAATCTGTCTGGAATAATGCTTTAATAAAGGTACAGTATAGGGACTGTATTTTAATTCCGTCACACATAACATCACCTTCTTCAGTTTGCTATTACTTATTAGTGCGTTTGTTAGACTAAGGTACGATAACTACTCAAGCATCCTTTAGTTTCAGCTGCGTTTGGGAATAACCCATAAGATAAGTGAGCAATGTTAGTGTTTTGATTATCACAATACTTTTAAGATCTTCTAGTTTGAAGTGATGCTGTTAAAAGGCAACGTAAACGTCACATCAAAACAATAATATTTGCTTCGTTAATTTATGCCAAAGCAAAATATACAAAGCATACTGCTGGTACAAAAATATCTACTTTGCACTCACCTTTTTATGAATTCGAAATGAGTTTCACGAAATGACGGTTGATTTGCTTCTGTTAATAAGAATAGAAAATCATCTTATTAACTGTTTTATAGTTAGGTAAGTGAACATTTTGATAGTTATCGTAACGTAATATAATAATTTCGTAAGCTTTCGTTCAAAAGTTTCAAACTACACTTATTTCGATAAAAGCAGAGGTTTTCAAACTGACATAGTGATTCCAAACATTTTTCAATCGCATACACAAACAGCCGATGTGACTCAGTTATCCAATTTGACGATAGGGACAGCGGCTTAATTAAGATTTATCTAAACAGATGAAACATCTATAGGAAAATATATTTATATTTGAACATTTAGGTAGTACATGCAACAGTATCACAGGAGTATGAATATAACAGTACATAAAATACTGACTTTTGACACAATAAATACATATACAAGAAGTGGTATTAGTCGCACTTTAGGCGTTTATGCTGATTCTGTGATATTGGCAGGTGTAGCAACTTTTATGTGAAGGTGCAAAGTACTTTTACAAGACTATCAGCACCCGGAACCTCCGCTTACTCTTGTTAGTAAACAGATAATAGTTGAGAATTTCGTGTATTTGGGCAGCTATGTGAGTGCCGGCGGCGGGGAGTGTGAAGTCAATTAATATGTCAGTCACTTAGCAACAACATAGAACTTCGTACGTACGTACATCAGTCCATACTATATTAGCACAGAGAAACAACTGTCGATCCAAACCCCGTAGTGAGGTAGTAAAAGTATAAGCAGTAATCGGGAAGATTACGGTTTGAAGATGTTATTCGAGTATAATCCAGTGAAATAAATTTGGAAAGATAAAAATGGGACATGAAGAACACAACGAATGGATGCACCTGCGTCATTGCAAACGATTTTGAGCCATGTCATTCAAGGTCTCTAACCACTGGTTGTTATCGTCTCGCGGATCACAACCAGGTAGTCTACATCTATCAACATGACTCAGTCCACTTTTCAGTGACCTCATGGATTTGTGCCATGTCTCGGTCTGGCCGCCTCTACCTTACTTCCAACCTACTCCTACACCATAAAACATCGCACATCGGGGCAGTCAATGGTTGGGAATACGTAACACACGTCTCAGCCATCTCAAGTGATGAAGTAGTGAAGCTTCATCAATTTATTTGTCATCCTTACCCAGTACCCGTTTCCTAACAACTACATTACTTACTCGATAGTCCCAGGATATACGAGCAATGCTTCGAAGACATCTATGATCAAATACTAGTAACCCACGAAGATCCTCTACTCTTACCGGCCATGTATCACAGCCATAAAGCAGGACGGAACAAACTGCTGTGCAGTAAACCTGTCCTTTAGTTGATAGACGGATATCTCACCTACGCCATAAATGATGTAAGTTGACAAAAGCTAGTTGAGCCTTCTGTATCTGTGCTGAGATTTCGTCACATTGGACCACGAAGGCTGATGAGACTCCCAAGATAAGTGAAGTGGTTGACACGCTCAACTACTTCACTCCCTATCATAAGTTCATGTGCCGGTGCAACCCAATCCTGAAACAATATTTCGCATTTCGAGAGGGGGAATCGCAATTAAGATGTACTGAAAGCCAGAGCGGCTTATGCTAATCTAGGCCATTATGGGCGCCTTCGTGATGTTAGTTTGTCAGTAAAACGTTGGAACCATAATGCGTCGGCCAGAACAGTTTTTCTCTATGCTTGTTAAACCCGGCCTCTTCAAGTTGAGGATGTCAGACAACTCTCTGTTTGATCATCGTTGTCCCCGAAGGATTGCTGACATCCAATGGTAACAACATGTTAGTAATGCAGAGGTTCGGTAACGTGTGTCCGGGCGCAGTGACGACAACTCGTTTAGTATCACCATCTTGAAACACCAAAGTTGGTAGCTCGGACATGTCTCACGGATGTCGTCTTAGAAAATTTCACATCCTGCATTATTTGGCGATGCTGAGGCTGGTTGGAAAAAGCAGAGAGATGGCCAGTGCATGACAGTGTTATGGAATGGAAGCTGTACAGGACTGATTTCTGTTGGTTCTTCACGGCTGCTTGGTTAGGGTCCGAAGGATGGTGCAACAGTAGCTTGAAACATTACCATACACGGTTCACAACAGAAGTTAGTGGTGATCCTGCGGTGACTTAACTTTCTTAATAAAAGTGAGTAGCTTCTTTGACTAAAAGAATTATTACTAGGTTTATTTTCCTTAGCTGGAGTGATTCTCTCACTACGGCTATTATTATCATAACAATCATTATTACTTCATTCTCATACACTGATTTCTAAGCATTGTTATTCTCTTTATTATGCTCACTTTCCCTATCTCACAACTTCATTTTCTTGTGTTGCTTGTGTTTTGATACCTCGTAACAACATTTATGTCCAAATAAACAAAACAAACCTCCCACTCGACATTAAGAAGGCAAGATGAAAGTATGAATACGAAGTAGTAGTGTTAGAAGTAGCACAATCGGTATTAGTACTGGTAGTAATAGTATCATTGATAACAAGAAAGATTAGACGCGAATTATACGATTGGAGAGAGAAATAACTGGAGGAATAAAAAGTACGAAATAATTTTGAAACCCAGGATCTAGGAACAGACACAGCTCACGTGAACGCGGATGACTTTGAGCCATGTTGCCCAATGTTTACAACCACTGATCAAAATTATATCTAGACCATAACTAGCCAGCCCAAACCTACCAAGTTAACCACAAAAGTCGATACAGTTGTGACGCTGAAGACCAACATTACATATTACATTCCAGATAGTTCTAAAAACGAGAGTATCAATGATGAAGCCAAAAATTTACTCAGAAAATAAAATGCTGTCTGAGATAAAGGTACTAGAAAATCCATATTGACATTAAGACTTACAAGGTTTACAAGTGATATAAGTATCGAAAGACAGAATCCTTAGTGTCTAACGTTCACACAATTATCTACATGATAGGTTTACTATCAGATCTAGTTACATATGGAATACCACAAAACGAAGCAACTGTTATACTTGTGACCGCCGATTAGAGGGCAGTGACTTATCGAACAGATCAATGACGCGTAAACCCGTATGAGCAGCCTAGAGTCCTGATTGGTCCTGCTTTCCGCCTAGCCCAGCCAGTTAAGTCCAGAACACCAATCCGAGCCTCTGCGATATGAATCATATTTCAAACATGCTGAGTTTATATACCGATTAGACAGACCACAACGTACCATAAAATAGAAAATAACATTTGTAGAAAATTTGGCCAAATGTGGCTGTGAATGTGGGATGCAGTGGCTAATAGACAGCTTAATTCAAGAACGGTAAAACGTATAATAATAATTCATAGGTCAAAATAAAGCTTATAATAAGAGGAATATAAATATGAATAGTTTAGTTATTTAACAATTATACGATAAAAATATATGCTAGTATTGATTCATAAATGGATCCCAAAGTTACCATTCATTATGCTTATCGGGACATAACAGAAACACTAGATAAAGCGCTGACTTCATCCTAGTACACATAAAGCAGTCTGTCAATGCAGCCATTATGAACAATGTCCCTTGAAATTATCAGATTATATTGTTAATCAACTTAAAATTACGGTCAGTCCCGTCGTTATGCTCATTTATTGCTGCGGATCACTGTAAAATAACTTGAGATAGCTTGTAGAACATCCACTTTAATCGTTAACATAAGCCGTCAAAGCTGAGAGACCTGTATGTTCTAGTAGAAAATAAAATGGAATCTCAATCTAAGTTAATGCAGTCTAAGGTTCTCGAGAATTATATGAGCACTACGTTTAACAGTAGAACTGAAACCAGTAAACTCCTGGGGTTATAAAATTTTAACGCAATGATAACTGACAACTGACACAATATTGTCGTTAAAAACATATTTTAATACTATTTCAATAATGTTATTACTTGCGCCATTCAGATGAGACCTTTAAGAGCCTATACGTCTGAGTCATATAAATATATAGATTCGTGAACAAAATATAAATTCACCAAAAATAAAGTCCAAAAATGCTAGAACGAAGGTGCTGGTTCCTACAGCGAGGATGACTTGCATTCACTGATACAAAAAAACGTATGCAAACATTGTGAACTTACTTGTGCTTTCCACTTCTTCGCTCACAAAAAAACAGAAGTCACAACACTTCGCAGGAGAGCTATCATCAGTGCTTTCCCCACTGCAAAGAATCTTTTTCTTCTTCTTTTTTAAGCGTTTCTTTTTAGAGACATTCAAACAGTTATTTCCAGTGGCCTCTGACTCTATGGAATCCTCAGTAGGTACAAAGACTTGGCTTTTCCACGTTACACCGCTGAAGCTGATAGGTTTTGATTTTGTTAAGGCAGGGAATTCCTCCAAATCAACAAGGTTATTCTTTCCAGACTCTGAATCACAGTCTAAAGAATAACTATACTCTAGGACCATGTTTAGAATGCTAGTAGTAATGTGGGTAGGGTAATTTTTACTGGATATAATGAATATTAACTTCTCATCAATCAGGAGCAGATTCTTGAATGGATGAACAACCAACTTAGAGACAGTTTTAGTGAACTTTATTCACCTCGACGAGTATAACCGTCAGTCGCCAGTAAATCTGAGTAGATTCACAAACGCGCTCCCAGAAAGTATCAGCAACATAAAGATTCGAAGTATTCAAACAAAAACACCTTAAATTTAAAAGTAGTTCAAATGGTTTTGGATGGAATATATGAAGCTTTCGCTTGATTAGCTTCTGTATCTAGTATCAATAGGTCACCGATGCTCCCATGTAAGAATTTAGCTATATTTAACGATGGAAAGAGAATTATTAGTGGAGTATAGTGAAACACTCTCATATTTCAGATTCAGATTCGTGCAGTAAGGACGGAAGGCCTACGGCCGATGTTATGCCTTTTCTATTGTGCTTCTGTGAGCTTCCAGTCTTCTCTTGTAAGAGTCAATTGAGAATGCGGACACCACTGCTTCGGGCAGCAGGTTCCAAGTATTGTGACTCGGTGTGAAAACATATATGCCACGGGTAGTTTGCTCATTCTTGGTTTTTCTATTCTCCTGCTATGTCCTCTGAGATGCCCCGATCTAGTGGGAAGAAAGAGAGAATAAGTTAGGTCCAAAATCATTTATCAGTACTCTCAACATCAAAATTAGATCTCCCGTTAATCTGCGATAGGACGGAGTAAAGAGGTCCAGCTTTTCAAGACGCTCTTTGCATGGTAAACCCCGGAGTTCTGGACTTACGCGGGTAGCCGCTCTCTGTACCTTTTCTAGGATATCCGAGTCACCTTTTAAACAAGCTTGCAGCCTGTACGCAGTTTTCAAGCTTAGTTCTCACCAATGATGTGTATACTGTGGTGAACATGATAGTATCTAATTTAGTGAGTGTCTGTTTTAAGGCCCAGAGGGTTCGAAACCCCTTAGCTGCGACCTTCTGGGAATGAGCCGTCGTCTTAAGACCATGACTCACTGTCACGCCTAGATCCTGTAGCGTGGCGTCGAGTTGAGATTAACTATGAACACCGCTACCAAGAAACACGTGCCAAGTAAATCAGAAGGCGACGGTTGAACGTAACCAAAGAAACCCATAAAATCCCCGAGAAGCCAAATACCAGAAGGCAAGTAATGGACCAAGTCGAGTTATATTTGCTGGCGATCTCGTGGCATCGAAAGGATACCGAGATCGTGCCAGGATACAAGCTCGGTTACAGAAGGTAACCGAATTCGCGCGAAGTTACAATCGAAGTGTAAGCATATTAATGGAAGCACAAAATAGTTGTCATTAGCACAGTCAAACAAAGCACATTAAAACAAACACTGGTACAGTTGGTTATACTAATAATTGTTTTTATTAAACCAGTCATGTTCTCGTGATAAATGTGAGTCACTACAATCCTTATGAGACCGGACCACGGGTAATGGCACTTCCCCTATGTTGTACCTATTAACCTTTGAATCCCCATAGTGCATGTAGACACACTTTGCCGCGTTGATTGGCATCAGCCAATCTTTAGACCAGTTAATCATATTATTTAGGTCTACCTGAAGAGCACATGCGTCCGTGTATCCAGTTATTACTCTCCAGATCTTTACATCGTCAGCGTATAACAACATTGGAGACTGTACTATACTTGGAAAATCGTTATCATACACGATAAAAATTGAAGGACCCAGGACGGAACTTTAAGGTACCCCGCTAAATACTGGTCTCCAAATGGAGCACTTGGAATTTATTCTTACTTTCTGTCTAAGACCTACTAGGAAATCCTTAATCCATTTTAAAAAGGGTCCAGCAATACCAAGGTTTGCCAACTTCAATAGCAGTCTGTTAATTGGCACCTTGTCAAAGTCTTACTGAAGTATATGTAGACAACGTCCATTGGGTTTCCGTTGTCTAGCCCCTTTATTCAAAATTCCTTTGCTATAAGGAGGTTCGTTGTACAAGATAGACCCTTCCTAAAACCATGTTGTTCTATGTTTAACAAGTTATTGGTTTCCATAAGTGCCATTATGGTCCGTTTGGCTATTCTTTTCAATATTTTAACTACAACACTGGTGAATCTTACAGATCTGTAGTTCGATGGAAGTTGTCTTGCTCCTGTTTTATGTATGGGCGTGGCAATTGCGTCCTTCTAGTCCATAGGTAACACACCTTGGTCAATTGACATTGAATATCACAGTCAGCGGAGCCGCGATATATTGTGCAATATGTCTCAAGATTTTGAGGTGTAATTCATCTGGTCCTGTTGACTTTTTCAGGTTTAAGGTGCTAAGAGCCTTAAGCACATCGTCTTGATCAAGGTCCAAGGTGAGCAGGTGGTTTGTTGACTTTTTATTTTGGTCTGGTTCTTTGTCTAGAGGAGGTTCCTGAGTGAAAACTGCCCTAAAATAGTCAGCCATAGCCTCTGTTTTTTCCTGATCTTCCTCTATCATTTCAGATTCACTCCCTTCTTTAATTAGGTTTGGGATCCAATGATGCATCCTTGTTCTGTAGTTTATGTACGAGAATATCCTCTTAAGCTGCTTGAGTGCAGATTGTGCCAACTGCATTTCATATTTTCTTGAGCTCCCCGAATTTTTGTTATACACTTGTTTCTTACCGATCTGTAGCGTTTCATCGTACCTGCTGTGCCAAGGCGGATGACAACATACCAACATTTCTTCTTTTGTCTTAGTAAACGTCGAATATCCCAGCCAATCCAGGGTTGGCCGTGCTTCTTCTCCTTTGGAACTGTCCAGGGTATGTATGGTTGAGTTACCCAATTGTATAACTGCCTGAAAAGAGTCGATGCCTTTTGTGCTGATGCCCTTGAGTCGATTTCCCAGTTTTCAGCCGATGCTGCGGAGTTGATTGCCTCCATATCTGCCTTCCATATATTGGGACGGGCCGGCGCAACTGTTTGACAGGCAATCTCAGCCATGAATTTGAGTAAGATGACTGCATGGTTACTTTTCCCTAGTGGTGGAAGAAAAGTCATTTGATCAACGTCATCACCGCGTGTGAAGAATAAATCCAATAGAGAAGAAAAGTTTCTTAAGTCATATCTTGTGGGGTTTCTGATGCGTTGGAATAAAGCTAACCCAATCAAGGTTTCTAACATTTTACAATCGAACGACGTTATCGATGACCCTACTTCTAAGTTAACCCAGTTTATATACGGTGCATTAAAGTCGCCTACTATAAGGCTTTTACCCTTGTTACATTGGGACTTAAGTCTACTTAGGAGAAAATCATCTGCTACACATTATGGACTGCGATATACTACAAGTAATTCAATATCATGCCGTCTACATTTCGGCTTACGTCACCCCAGTCCACATGTCCCTGAAACATGTGCCACTGTCTCAGCTACTCTTTTGGTTAAAGTGCTTTTTGTGTATAGGATAACCCCGCCTCCCCTACAGTCTATTCTATCAGCCCAAGTGGTTAAAAAACCAGTCAACTGAATTTCATTATCTAATACTTCTGACGCTAACCAAGTTTCTGAAACAGCAATAACATCCGGTTTTTCTTTATCCACCATTGGCTTGAGCTCCGCCATTTTACTTAGAAGGCTGCAAGCATTTGTGTGGCATACCTTTAAGTCCGTGAAGAACTTTCCCTTATCACCCAGAGTGGTTTTGGGATTGTTCTGCTCCGAACTTTTACAATTTGAAAACCCTTAAGAATGAGGTTTCTTTCACCGTTTCGGCGACACTCATTTATTTTCACTTCAGCATTTCGTCTCTTAATACGATCAGATAGGGTGAAATTCTCACGGACGTATATTCCAGATCAAATCAGTTACCTAGAATCCGGCTCTTTTTTTCAACTGTGCAAATGTAACCTTCAAAAGGCGGTTTTTCTGATGACTTTCAGAATCCACCTTTTGTCCTATTCTATAAAACTTAAAAACACTAACTCCTTAAACTGTATCTGGTAGTAGTTTGCTTATTAATATGACTGAGGTCATGTTCAAATCTAGCCCTTGGTTCCTTATAGGAAGATTCTCTTAACTTATGAAAAATGGTTGACCTCTCAGAGAGATCTGTCTTGACACGCAGCGGAGTTTTTTCTGATTCCATCTCTTCCAAATGACTTGCTAAGCAGCTGTGTTTTACCTAGAGCTTTTTTCTTCTCATTTCTTTTTCTCCGTAATCAAGGTGTATGGTTACTGATGTCAATATCAAGCGGTACTTCATTCCTCGTCAATGTTAACGGAGACTTCACTTTCCCGTCAATCACAGTCGGGTGTTTAACGGGTCGGGTAGCAGCACGTACTACACTGACACGTTCTTCACCTTCAGTGCTCGTGTTATCAGCGCAACCACCATCGTTTTTCTTACAGGCCAAAGCCAATAGGCTCATAGCTTCCTGGATTAGTAACTTCTTATTTGTACAACAAAACATACAAAGCCAATGCAACTTAGGCTTCGAGCATCTTTTGTATGCCGTAGGACTTGGACGTGTACACATCTCATGGCACCACTTTTTACATTTATCTCACTGCATTCCTTCCTCAACGAGGAACAAGCAGTTTGGTTGTCCATATTTTTAAGTCTTACTAACCATTGTAATTTGACTAAAAAGTTTTAAAACAATATGATCACATTGTGAACACGAGTGTCAGTCAATGAGTAAAAAAGGTACCACAGGACAAAGTTTAGCAAAAATTTCAAAGCTTAACCAAAGTATTTTTGCTTAAAGTAGACCAAGAATGCTTCTAGGTGCAAAAAGTAAACAAAGCAAGGATAATCACAACAAGTACAAAATCACTGCCCGTTTTGAAACGAGCGCCTGAGTCCCTAAAATCGCGCTACGTTTTCTCTTAAAGGACTCGTGGGAAGTCTTTCGGACCATCCTATATAGCGGCGAATCTCAGAGCTTGATTACTCAGAAACTGTAAAAGCTGGGCCTACAGTCCATTCTGCTTCGTCATGTCTATAATATCCATGTCACCTCTAAGTTTCGTGCTGAGAATGAGTTTCATCGGGTGTTCGGGGGCCTGCCCGTAAGTGTTTAGGACTTCACAAGTCATCAGAAAAGCACTTCTGAGACGCCTATACTCAAATGTACTAACCACACAATCCTCAAAGTTGAATATGAGATCATTGGATAAATATATATTCAACATTTAAAACAGAATGCCAACACTG